TAAAAAAACAAAATAAAATAAAATAATTTATTAAAATTTTTACTATTATAAAAATTTAACAAAAATTAATTGTAATAGTAAAAGGCTTTATTAGTCATATAACAAAATGATTTACATACCCTATATACCCTTAAATAACAATTGATTACGTATTCACCTACGTACTTTAAGATACGTATACTTTGGTTATATCTTTTTACGAATACGAATAAATTATACGTACGTACGTACGATTTGGCAACTCAAAAAAATGATAAATGTGTTTTAAAATATCACGTACGTACGTACGTTAATCATATTCTTCAGGGCAAAATCCAATAAGGTGAAAGTTATTGATTTCGTCATTCATAACATATATTATAGACCAACGCTATATATACATATAAATATAGAATATGTTAACTGTAAGATGTATATCTCGAAATAACGCACCTTGGCGTTATTTCAAAGATGATATGGTAGTCACACTATTCATTTAATTTTTTTGATTAAAAATTTTTTTTAAAAAAATTATAGAGTAGATATAAAGTAGATAATCATTCAACGATTAGTTGCTTCGAAAGGTTTTTGCCAATTTGATCAACTTTTTGATTAATAGATTTTCGATTCGTATCATTTGTATTACTAAGCTGATTTAGAAAAAGCGACTACATTTACTATCACAGCTTATACGTACGTACGTACGTACACTAAACATAGACCCGGCCGAATCGAAATTTGTAACTGTAAAACTAAATATAATTGGCCGATCTGTTTGAAATGAATAGAGTTATAATTGGTTGACCAATGTGTTTATGAAAATTGTGTAGACCACGTGTAAATCAAGAATCTACAAACGGATACAATTGTGTATTGTGTAATAGTGCTATCATTTGCCGGCGATTTCAGGTAAATTAATACTTGTTCCAGCCGTAACCTAGAGGTTCTGTCGACAAAAGAGAGTACTTTCAGTTTTAACGTTTCGTTACGAGGCAAAGATGAGCGGTGTTGGATACATTGGGTCCAAGATCAGTCTCATATCAAGATCTGATATACGTTACGTAGGCATACTTCACAGTATCAATTCTGCAGACTCGACTGTAGCTCTTGAACAAGGTTGGTTCTTTTTAGCTAACTTTTTCTTTTTTAGAATTTTCGTAATTGTTTTTAATGAGATGTTGAAATATGACTGAGGATGAGACAATCGAACTTTTCTATTGTTTTAAAAATCAGCCGCTCTTGCAACAAGTCTCTTTGTTAAATCTATAGTCATGGTGTAATTTTAAATACCTTCCAAGATGATCTCTAGCTTCTTTCTTGTAGCTCTTATAGTAATATTATATTCTGGATTAAGAGTTTTAACAAGTGAATACCAAAAAGATAAGAAGTATAATTTTAAAAACATTTAATATTCATAAATTTTTTCTATCATGATTAGTTCGTTCTTATGGAACGGAAGGTCGTCGAGGCAATCCTGCTGAGGAAATTCCTCCATCCGACAATGTTTTTGAATACATAGTGTTTCGAGGTTCTGATGTGAAGGATTTGCACGTTTGCGAAGCCCCAGCTCAGCAACAGTCAATGCCACCTCAAGTCCCTAATGATCCTGCTATTCTTGGGGTAAGAATTTGGATAATGTGTTAAAGAAAGTATTTTGCATGCACGATGGATTTAATAAAAATGTATCTTAGCATTGTTTTGTCTTGTCAATGTTGGATCCTATTTGTCATGCAAAAGGAAAAAGATCGCGTTTTAATGATGAAATTCTGGATGTAAATTACGTCTGAAGCGCAAAAAAAAAAACAAAGAATGTTGATATTTCCATGTTGCCTTCCTTCTGATTATTCAGGACTAGTAAACAAAATTTTAATTTAAACATAGGATTAAGTCCATTTCTAATACAGGTCAAAATTCTATTTATTGTTATATTATACAGACTACTGCACCACGACCTCCAAATTTTCAAAGCTTTGCCCCACCACCACCATTAGGTGTACAACCACCTCCTAACTTTCCCGGTGCTTCTTTGAATCCTTTTTATCTTCAACAGGTTGCTTCTTTTCAGCAACAACAACAGTTTTGGCAGCAACCACAAGTTCCACAACCACAGCAGGTTTGTCATCTTAATTAAATGCTCGATTGAAGCATTTACAAATTAAGTGATCTTTGTGGTTTTTTAAATATTTATTTATCTATTTATTCTTTTTCATATATATTCGACTAGCATACAAAACTCGTGAAAAATGTATAGTTCTCATTCTACTTTTTTCTATTTGTTTCAATGATTCGAATTTTAAATTGTGCAATTTTTTTTTTTTCATTTATGGTACAATAGCTTAATAATATTACCGAAAGTCTTGCGAAAGAAGCTGAACAGCCAAAGTCACAGCAACAGGTCTGCAATTTTGGCAGCAAAATTTACGCATGATTAACCCTGCTCCTCGATGGACCATGTTTATACCAATTCCTAACTCCTTGAATATTAGAAAGAGCATGGCACACCGGACAAAGTAGAAGACCATAAAACGGAAAAGAAGACTTCAGTTACCAAAAATTTCGTCAAGACGGGAAGTAGTTCCCGATCATCGGCACAAACAGCAAACGTTAGGAATGAAAGTGCAATAGAAGTGCCATCAACGGCCATGGCCGTGGAGAACTTGGCCAAAAAAGTCAGCGAATTAAGTATTACCACGAAAGAGGTTAATGGAGAAAGAGGTATATTATTTGAATAGTTTTCTTATAATTATTTTGTCATTGTTCATGTAATTCATTCATTATAATTTGAATGTAATTCTATTTCAATGCATACCCAATAATAGTTATGGGCAACAATCGTTCTGTATCAAGCAATAACCGACTTCCTGGAATGGGAGGCCATCTTGTACAACAAAATCGCAGAGGTCGTGGCAGTAGAAGAAACTATAATCAAAGTTATGATCGTAATAGAATTCCCGTTCCGCAATCAGATTTTGATTTTGAATCGTCAAATGCCAAGTTCAACAAAGACGACCTTGTCAAAGAGGTTGTTAAGAAAATTATTCCTAACCATGATCTTAAAGAAGAAAATTGCGCAGATGGAATCGAACTTGGCCCAGAAGAAGAGGAAGAGGAAGTTTTGATACCACCTGCTGAGACTTATTATGATAAGGCTAAATCATTCTTTGATAACATTTCTTGTGAAACAAAAGAGCGGTTGGAACAACAAGGACCTGATGGCCGGTTAGCTTTTTTTTTAAAAGAAAATTTACTCAAAACATGTATATACATTTGATAATTATGCCTATTTATTAATTGTTAATAGAGGATTGTCTGTGGCTGAGCGAAGACAGAAACAATCTGAAGAAAGACGTCTGAATCTTGAAACTTTTGGGCAAGTCTCGATCGACGGTGGAAGATATCGCGGTGGCTATCGCAGTCGTGGTTATAGGGGAAGCCGAGGTGGATATCGTGGTGGCCGTGGAATCCGTGGAGGGTACTCTAACAACTATCGGGGGAATAATTTCAGGGTATGTTTTACGTTTATTTCTGTGAAGATTTATTATTACCATCATCGCTTACGTTATGCGAATGTTTCATAGCAACAGATTCAGCAACAACAATCATGAGCCGAAAAAAAAAAGAAAACAAAAGCATATATTCATGGCGATTTAGATATTTTTATTTGATATTTTATATTTACGATCACGGATTTCTTGCTTGTTTGAATTTTCGTTGTTTTTGTTATTCAAAACATCACATTCACTTTTCATACCTATCATCGGATTTTTTAATATCTAATCAGATTTGTATAAAGAAATAATGTGAAGCAATATACGTGTAAACGAAGGAAGAAAAAAAAAATAACAATGCATAAGAGAAAAAAAGAGGGACATCAATAAGAAAAAAGGAGGCTTCACATGTATAAAAAAAAAAAAAAAAAAAGGAATAAGGAAACCTTTTATACATAGTATTCGACATGTATTTATAATTTGTAGTCTAGCACGGTGAAATTTTTGTTTTCCTTGTATTCAAATTTTCTTCCAACATATATATCGTATATTCTCTACAAAAAAGAAAACAGATAAAGACAGGCTTACTAAAGGTTTGATTTATTTTAATAACTGTTAATATTAAGTTTTTGAAGTGTGCTATTGTATGTTTGTTTTGTATATTCGAAGTCGGATTTATTTGCATTTATACAAATCGGATTTCAATTTTAAAAAGTTTGCATAATAAACATCAGATGATATAAACCAAGACTAATTATTTTAAACAATATATAGTAATATTCAGGCATTTATAACCTTATCATTATTAATTTAAACAATGTTTTTTTATTTCAAATAGGATTATTGTTTTTTTTTTTTTTTTTTTGAATTTAACAAACTATTCGAAACTATTCGAATGATGTTTCTATTCCAATAAATTTGAAGAAACGCCAACAAGCCAATCACTTTGAATTACAGAAATATTTTTCATATATGGTTTTGAAGTTAATACCTGCAAATAAGATTATTTAGTAATTGACAAAAAAAAAAAAAAAAAACCGAAAACTTTTTTTACCAATTCTGTATACATAACAGTTTCAATTTTTTTATTAAATAAAGTTGACGATGGATGTATGTTAACGATCTATTATTAGGATAAACACATATTCAATTAGCTCATAAATGATTGCTATTAAAATTTATTGCGGTTTTCTAGTGAATACTGTTAATACTACGAATATTCGAGTACTCGAATACCTTAGCACATTGATTAATGATCGATGATCGATGCCTGATTTTACATACATAATTGTAACTAAAACAATTACATTGTATGTATGTAAAATTGGGGTATTCGTAGTGTTTACCAAAAAAAATTTTATAAATAGAATAAAACAATAACATCAATAACATGATAAATATACCTGATTACTCCCAATAGTTTTATAACCATTGTTACCGGGTTGTAACATAGCAGAATTACGAAAAAACCCGCTTAATACACATTTTAATAGTAGTTCATAGTTTTCGCAGCAAGTGGTTGTAGGAGAAATATTCATTCTTGTACACAATTGTATTAATTGTTTTCTTACATTCTGTTTATATATAAATAACAAAAATTAATTAAATGGTTAGAATTTCAATTGATTGTTAATAATACTTACAATAACATGTTTCATATTTCGTTTATTAACAAAGTTCTGTTTGCACCAATCCAAATCTCCTTTATGTGTTTCATATGATCGTAGAACATTTAAATAGGTAATCAAATCACCAAGAGGAGATATAAATTTCTTTTTCATATCCAATGCATGATCACGTTGATCTTGAGGCAAAAAAAAAATAGAGTCGACCGAAAGTAATGAAACTATATTAATTACTTCACGTGTACAAGACATTTGCTATTAAAAAATAATACAAGTTATTTAATAATTAATGAAAGTTTATCAGTTAATAATAATTTTTAAAGTACCTCTGACATGATAAGGACTCTAGCATATGCCGGTTCAAGAGGAAACTCTGACATTTTTCTTCCCAAATCAGTTATTTTACCTTGGTTATTAAGCGCTTTTAGAATAAATAATTGCTCCAAAGCCCTTTTTACTATGTTCAGGACATAAAATAGAATCAACAATTTGTATTTAAAAAAAAAAAAATTTTTTTTTGAAAAGCATAACATACATAAGTTTCTTGACGGAGCATCTAAATAATCGAACTCAAGTACATTGTCGATACCAAAAGCTTTTAATAATAAGATAATCGATGCAAGATTGCATCTTTTAATTTCCGGTTCAGTATTTTTTTCCATTTTATTATATTCTTCTTCTGTATATAGACGATAACAAAACCCTGGAGCCTAATGATTGGAAATAAAAAAAAATAAATAAAATAAAAACACAAATAATAATAGTAAATTTTTTTTTTTATAAAAAGCAAATGCACTAATATTTGTAAGCATATCTTTGTAGCGCACCTCACGACCAGCCCTACCCATCCGTTGATCAGCAGAATCCTTTGAAATATTTTCTATGGATAAGCTTTCCATTCCAACTCTTGAATTAAATTTTTTCATTTTGCATTTTCCCGTATCTACAACGTACCTAACGCCATTTATCGTTATAGAAGTTTCCGCGATGTTTGTTGCTAGTATTATTTTACGAGTTCCTGGAGGAGAGGGATCAAAAACTTTTGTTTGTTGTTCTGTCGGAAGAGCCGCAAATAACAAACACGGAATTATCTACATATTGATGTATAGTTTATAGAAATATATATTAGTTGTTAGATGAAAAAAAAAATAAGATTAAACATGAAATTGTACCTTTAATTTATCTGGTGGCAAAGTCGTGCCGTATTCAGTTATTAATTTTTCAAGAATTTCAATATCATCTTGGCCTAAATATATTAAATATAGGTCAATTATATAACGCAATAATTAATGGTTTATGATAAGTAATCAACAACTTACCCGGTAAAAATAACAGAATATCACCAGGTGGTTGATTTGCATGAATTTGCGTTGACGTAGTAAACGCAGCATCTAAATAATCAGGTTGAGGTACAAAGCTGTAATTCACGCTCACCGGAAACTGTCGACCCGGAATTTGTAATATTGTAGTTCTAATGATGAATCAGTCAAGTCATTCTCGGCAAAAAAAAAAAAACAAAAGAAAAGATATCTCTACAATTAAATAATGACTCACGTATTAAAATAATTGGCAAATTTTTGAGAATTCAACGTGGCACTCATTATAATTACTTTTAACGGACTACAAGATTTATCATTTTTTCTAGCGTCTTGAACCCTTTTCACCATACCAAAGAGAATATCAGTACGCATTGTTCTTTCATGTGCCTCATCCAGAATTATTACACAATATTTCAAAAGCAAAGGATCAGATAGTAATTCTCGTAAAAGCATGCCATCGGTGAGATATTTTATAACTGTAGCGCGAGATGATGTATCATCAAATCTGACAGAATAACCAACCTTTATAAAGTATGATAAATATTTTTAATAAATATTAAATCTACATATAAATAATATATATAAATTTGATAAGAACTAACACGATGACCAAGCTTCGTTCCAACTTCATTAGCAACTCTCTTAGCCAAACTTATAGCAGCGACTCTCCTTGGTTGTGTTAACGCGATAGCACCATCCGATAAAAGACCAGCATCCAACAAGAATTGGGGTATTTCTAATGATGCCGTGATCACGTGATATTAATAAGAATGTAAAGTTTCGCGAGTTTTTAAAAATTTTATACATACGGGTACTTTTTCCACATCCCATTTCTCCCATAACAACGATAGTCTCATTTTCTTTGACAGCCTGTACTGATTTTTTTCGTTCTTTCAACAGAAAGAACTTTAGAAATTAAATGATAACTAGAAATGTTAACTACGATAAAGGAAATGTAGACTACCTCTCCATATTGGAAGCTCTTTTCGAAATCCTTTTAATCGCTGTGCAATATTGTGAAATTCCAAATCAAAATTTTTTCTTTGTTTTTTATTAACGCGCTTATTGCTAATGTTTGTTAAATTCTGATTTTTTGAAAAGTCAACGGTGTCATCGGCTAAAGAACGCCTACGTTTTGATTTCATTTGTTGAACAGGGCGACCCCAGCAGCGGTTAATGTTTAGATAAATTCTTCTCAAGCAATACAATCAGCAGCCTCGTGATGATCTGTGATAAATTTCATTGGTCAAAAAAATACTAAGTTTGTCGCGATGAATGTATTAATTAAAGATTTCGGTAATTATTAATTATTTCACATTAATTTGCTCGACTTCAGAAAGTTTCACCCACCGGTTTCGAAATTTCGAAAATTTTAGAATTTTTAGATTTGAGGTTTCGTCTAGCTGAAAGTTTTGATTTAGACTAAAATGCTGATGTTCTTTTAATCGGGTCTGGGTCAAAATTCTGACTCGACAAGTTTGCCCGCATTAGCTGTAGTTTTCATAGGCAAAAGTTTGTCTGATTGGCTAATAAATTCAATTTAATTTTACATTATTTATACAGTTTAGAGTACTTTTTAAAAAAACG